CCCCTAATTCACCCTACAGTATTTTATGGTATTTTGACATAATCCTACATCCATTACGAATGGATTATTTTCATCAATGCATTAAGTTTGTCAGAAATGTCAGAATCTGGTGTGTGTGTGTAAATATTCATTCAAAATAATCACTAGTTTCTTTCTGCAGAAGTCCCACGTTTGTCTGTTCAGTGTATTCAGAGAAGAGGCCCTCGGTCCTCTGCAATGATGCCGTTCTACAGGTCTCCCTCCTTCTGCTCGGTATCAGTCCTCCGCAGAGGTCTCTTATCAGCACGGGGACGCTCCACCCACCACCAGGGGATCCCCTTATCGCCACGGCACACATTACCTTAGCCAGAACTATGGCGTAAAAACCCCTTTACACGCCGCTCAAACTCCCATCCCCAACCTGTCAGCTGAGCACAAACATGTCCGTCTCTAATCGTGTCTGAAGACTGACTCCGCTTAGCTGGTGAACACTAATAGCAGCAAATTAAGTGCGTTTGTCGAGGCGTGCTGTCTCCACGGCTTCGTTCGGGGATGTGTGGAGTAATGAAAAGGCAGGGACCGGTGCGAGCTCTCCACTTGGTGTCCTTGAGGACGAAGAGCCCAAACACACCTGCTCGCTAACAATAGGTTATCCCGTCAGCAGGAAAAAGAGGAGAGCTTCCATCAAAGATGCTGAGTAGGATAACAGCTTTCCACCGGCATCTGGATGTTGTGATGCACACAGTCCTGGAAAGAGCCACGAAATGCCAGCTGACGCATCACATCACGGCCACAGCCCATTGAGCGTGTTTATTTTCACTAGTTTGTTCAGAAGTGATTCATTTTTCATTTCCGTTGCAACATTTTTTTAATCATCACCACACGCTCAGCACTGCCGGGTTTAAGTCTGTCGCAATAAGCAATAAATCAATCGATAGCGTGATAAATTAAAATGAGATCGATAATTTCTTCTCTGATGATTGATTTTTTTTTTCTTTCTTTTTTTTTTTGAAGGGCAATTTTGTTTACAGAAACATCATAATCAAATTTTATTCATGGTTTGCAAGTGGTTTTTATTTCCATTTTGTTGCGTGTGGTTGTCATGGTTAAAGGAAAGTGTAAAGAACACTTCCTGTTCTAGTATTAAGTCTTCATTGCTAAATTAAAGTTTATCGGTCTTTGAGAGTGGTGAATGCATTATCACAGCATTATCAATATTTGAAAATGTCCTCAAAGTAACAACAATTATCGTTTGTCACAATAATTATTGGGTCCAGGAAAATTTGTTATTGTGACAGATCAAGTTGGGTTATTTTTTATAAAAAAAAAAAAAAACAAACACTGGATTCAAACTATTAGGTGAGTAGTTATATTAAAAATATAACTGATATTAAAAATGTCAAATAAAGAGTGCTAAATAGGTTGCACAAAAACAAAGTTGCACTTGCAATTAGAGGGAAAGTGTTGGGTGATGTACAAAGAGGTGCAAAAGTGGAATGGACCTTCCTATTTTAATGAGAATGTTTTGTGTTTCTTCTCTTCTTTATGGAAAGCAGAGAGACTATAAAAGAATGAAGCTTAAAGTCACGCAGATATAACTAATAAAAATAATAATATCAATGTATTTCATTTTAAATAGTATCTAAAAGTGTTACAACACAACAGTAAAAACATATAATAAAAATCAGTGCTTGCAAAATCATGTTTGGATTAGAACAAGACAGGGTTTAAATAAACAGGGCACCCATCTGCAATGTATATTTGCACATTTAAAGCAAAGACGAATGCAGCAGGTCAGTAAAACTGCTTTTGCAATGAAAGAATGATGATGTGTTGCGAGTTTTATATCACAAAAGCAAATCTCGCTTGCATCTTAGTGAATAAATTCATTTCATGGTTATTTTTTGCATAAATGTGACGCAGTTGGCACAGAAAACTTTTTTTTTTCCTTTTCTGAAGCTATTATTAGCCTTCACCAATAAAAGTAATGAAACAGAAATGTGCAGATGCCTGGTTTTAAAGCTGCACAGTGTTTGAGTCAGAGCCTCTGGATAATTTCTCATAAGTTAGAAAGTGTCAAGAGAGGCAATGCAAAATAAAAAAAAAAAAGGCCAAGTGGAAATCCTGTAGATGCCCAAGAGCTGCCTGACCTCGGAGTGCTCTTTATGCATTTTACTGGAGCATCGCAATAAGAGGACACGTTTGGACTTTTTATGGAAACCAACATAAAATAATCATTAAGCACAAAAACAACGTGCCGTAAAAGTTTGGTTTCCATACTTGGGTCTCACTGGAATTTACTGTAACTTCGTCTATTTCTGTCCGTTTTAAAAATAGTGTTGATGCAAACAGCAGAGCACCTGATCTGAACCTAAGTTTAAAAAAAAAAAAAAAAAGCCCACTCTTGCAGCTGTATACAGATGCCCAAACTGCACACTGAGCAGAAAACATATTAGATTGCTGTGGGGGTGGGGGTGGGGGTGGAGGAGAAAAAAAACAGCACATTGTGGCGAGCAGCACAAAGTGGAACCAAGATTAAGTAACAGAGCGATGTTACAGGTGTGGCCAAAGATGAGTGACCCGCAGTGTGGGCATGTGTCTGAGAAACTGAAGCGTGGGTTCGCGCGCTGATGAGATTGAGGCCTGTGGCCAGGCTGAGAGTGGATCTAAAACACAAAGCTGAGCCGTGTTCCTTCACGGAGGAAGCTCGTAAACTGGAATATCTAGAGGCTATTAGGACGAATCCTAGCTGCACACAGATTATGTACATCAGCTGTTGAAGAGATCTTTAGCTGTGGTCGGTATTGCTTTGACTGTGGCGAGAGAGAGCGCTCAGTCCTGGGAGAAGGGTAAAAGGAATCAATGGTAAATAATTTCTGGAGAGTGTTTACACTAAAGGCTCTGCTGGTCCAGACAGAGCAACACGCTCGCACATGTCCTTTTAGGGAAATAAGAAGAAACTCTTCAATTAAAGCAGGGAACATGATTTTTTTTTTCTGTTTAATATAATAAAGTGCTTTCTATAAAGAGCGACAAATACATAAGATTTATTTAGCAGGAAGAATTGAAAAGTAAAGTGAAAAAGTACAGTTTTACAGCTTGTGTAAGCAATAGTAGAATGCCAGCACGGTTGTTCTTATCTTGGGTTTTTCAGGCAAAATATACGAGTTATTCATAAAAATGGATAAAATTGAAGAATAATCTTGTGTGAAGTTATTATTATAGGCTTTGAACGTACATAAAACGCATGAAAAAGAAAGGTGGAATGAGAATGAAGAATAAGGAAAACTAAGACCACGAAACAAACTTTGTCATAACTACTGACCTAAAGTGATCATTTGTGATCTCTTTCCCCTTTGTAGTCATTTACACTCGCTTGAATTTCCATTGGATTCGTTTTTGTTGATTTGTCTGCTAGTACAGACAACCTGACCTGGGTTTGCCCTCTTACCCCAACCCTACCATTATATCTACTTCTTGAATATATTAATATAGTAGAAATATAGTTTAGGATATTTAAACTATATATTTTTAGATAACTGAATACAAGTGCCTTCAAAATGCATTCAGAGACTACAATTAAATATTACGTGACTTGTTTTTGCTTTTGAATATCTGGTATCCAGTGTATGTTTTTTAAGGTAATTTATAAAACTAGATTTGTAAACTTGCCATTAATTCTTCAATAGTTAATGACGTTTTGAAAAGCCGCACCAAGTTTTGCGCAGTTTTATCACCGCACTCTGCTGCGGCCTTTTGCAGCACCAGATAAACAACTGAATAGTTGGCAAAGTTGTTTACTGAAGGGAGGAAAACGAGTTTCAAACCAAAACTAAAATAAATAGAAATACCTCTTATATTTACTTCTTTAAAAAAAATAACCCGGGCACCTCTATATATACATAGCCAACCAACAGGTGGTTCAAGTAAACTTACCTGACAACTACAGCAGTGCTAACTATTCAGTAAGCGGTAGTTTAATTATGTTTATGTCAAAAGTCACTAATTTAAATAAACAAGCGCGAGTTGGCTCGGCTTTATATTTACTTACTTAATTGTAGTAGTTTTAGTCCTCTCTGAGCGTGTTTCTTCAGTTTTCTTCCTGCCAACAAACCAATTATAATCCCATTGAAGCGGCGGGCTGCAGGTCAGCGCGCGCGGACATGTCCAGTGCGCGAGGAAGAGGAAGAGGAGGAGGAAGAGGACTCGGTCCTGCACGGGGGACAAGGGAGAGGGGCTGAAGGCACGGCGCGCTCCGCGGTCATTCCGAAAGCCAGCGACTGACCCACCCTGCCGGGTTAAAAATAAAGTTGGCGCATCCAGTACATGATCTGTGCGCGCGGGGGACGGACATTCCTGACAAGAGCTGGTGACTCTAAATGGCAGAGGTACTTCTGATCTCCTCAGTAACCCACCCAACCCTCCCACCACCACCCAGCCCAGCTCGGGCTCTAATCGCGCTCACACAACACCCACCCACCCTGAGAGACCCTCAGAGAAATGTCACCTCCACAGCTGCCCCTGCATTCCACGTGGAGCAGCCAGGACAACAGGAGGCCGCTTCGTTATCGTGGCCCAGAATGGAGGCTTGTACAGGCAGTAAAGCTGCTGCAGGTGCATTAATCCATGAGTAAACAACAATCAGTGAGTAATACAGTCAGATGTTTACACTTTGTATTTAGTTTGAATGCAATGATGAAACTGCATTAAGTGAATTTTGAACTGTATGCACATGTTTTAACTGCCTATTTATTTATTATGAACACAGATTTAAATGTTTTTTTGGAGTGGGGAAAAAAAGGCTATCATTAGCCAATTGGAAAACTCTGACCCCACTTAAACTGAATTTGTGGATTACATTAAATAATCGAGACAATGGGAGGAAATCAACCAATTTATGAGCTCCATCTGATTCTCCAGAGAAAAGTAGTCAAATATTCAAGCCAGAAGCTTGTTGTCTACAAAAAAATGGCAAGACTGAGGCGCAATGAGCTAAAACATTATACAGTTTGACACAAAACTTACCTCGGTTGCAAATATTTATTGTTTGAATACAAAAACTGTCAAAAATAAAAGGTAACAATAGATAATTAGTGACCAAAAGCATCACATAGATTGCAAAAGAAACAACTGTACAACAGATAACCTAAATATAAATACGTTTTCACAAAACGAATGACGCTGGGAAATATTTACTCATAAAAATATATTTCAGAACAAAAATCTGAGTTCCTTCACATCACTCGTCACTCTTTGGTTGCTGTGAGACTGTGAGCCAGGAAAGCTTCCTGAACCTCCATTTAAATATTGCGGCTTTGCATGTGGATACGGCTGACCCGGACAGCACTGGTCTCTGATCAGCCTGAAGAAAACAGTGTCACCTTTTCATCAGGAATGTTAATCAACGTGTAACAAGTTCTCTGCATGCAGCTGTAAAACACAGCATTGTGCTACGCTCATTAAAAGAAGCAATACAACTATAAAACACATTTTTTTAAAAACGCAGACTTTGAGAATAACGAGCGAGGAAAAAGTCATAAAATTAACTCCCTTCTTGAAGAGGCGATACAGTAAAATGAGAGAGCACCATGTCGACGTATTACAAACCTCTACAGCTGGTTTCAAGCGCATGAGTTTTTCAGTTTAGTTGTTCATCTTCTTGCAGTGGCCCTCACATTTATTACATCCAAATCAGTTTCCGACATTTTCTTTGTAGTTTCCCCACAGAGAGCTGGTTAACGTTCTCAGTGCTCTTACAGATAAACACATTACATTTGAAAGCTCCTGAGTGGCAATAATTTCCTTTCATTCCTCCAGGAGGTGTTTGCCTGTTAACTGTGCAGCGCCGCTAACCCAACACCAAGCATGTATGTTGCCTTCCAATTGTTGCAAGCAAAAGCATTTCAAATCAATTCTTAACTAAAATGAAGGGCACTTATGTAAAACATATGCGTTGCTTGGAGAAATAGAAATTTCATGTTTGAGGAGAAGTTTTCCTTTGGTTATTTCTTATCCTAACAGGCACATGTGGAAGTATTAGCACGTATGTGCAGAGGTACAGAAACAAAATCTGCCTTGTCTATCGACCGATTATCGAAAATTATTAAATAAAACACAAAGATTGCATGTGATGCCCAGTGCATATCAAATTAATGTGAATAAAAGTAACTAAAATCTTTCATTTTGGTCTACGATATTGTTAAAGCTGTAGCTGTTTCTAAGTGATTGTAATTTTAATCCCTGTGAGAAATGTAGACGTGAATGAAACATTAAAACAGCATAAGCTTATTAAGCATTTGATGCATCTTTGGTGGAACAGATTGTTAAAAGCATTCATGTACAAATATAAAAAATATCAATATTTTATAAAAAAAAAAAAAAAAAATAATATTTTTATACAAAAACAAAGCTGCTACAACTTTTTGTCAGGAACATGACAGATCCTTTTGAAATAAAGAAGTCAAGTAAATAAGATCCAGGTGCAAATTCACATGTAGAAGAACTCCATGCTGGTGACGGTCTAGTCAAAGTGCTCAAGGCTGGCGGGTTTTATGGCGCGAGGAAAACATCGAGATCGGCGATAACAGCTGCCTGTCTCCTGGCAACCGTGTTCAAGAGTCGCTGAGGAAAAGATGGCGTTCCGAGGTCGACCTGAAAAGGAAGCAAAAGACACAATGTTAATGTCTACATTCATATATATAATACCATATATAAATGGACAAGAACGTTTCTGAAAAGTCTTTTTCTTGTTGTTGTTTTTAGACATAGCATTGACACATCAACTTCATTGTGCCTGAATCAGCTGCTACAGCTTTAAATATTTGGCAACAATTACACAAAGCTAATCCATGAGCTTCTGCTCAATGAAACTAATTTCATTAATAGTGAGAGTCCTGCCAGTAGCGAACTATAAACTCATAGTGCAGTAGATCAGCACGGGAAGTCAATACCACGTGTTGAGTCTCCGCCTACAAAACCCAAGCAGGGAATTCTCATTTCCTGGATTTTTACTGCATTCATACAATATTAAGTGGCAAGTACTTTATAGATAATCTGTGACAGATCATGGACTACAATGCAGACGATGTATTGTCTGAGCTATGGATGTCTGCTGCTCCTCCAGAGTCATCAGGGGCCTCGTTGTTTTTTCACTAACGTTCTCCAACTATCACTAAATAACTGACAAGATTACACAAATCTGGACTCAGTGTTGTGATCATGTAATTGACCTGGAATTAGCTGCACTGCAATTTACACGAGGTAAAATTTGGAAACCATATATCCTTTTTCTTCCAGGTTATCTACAGGATTCAGCAAGTCAAATTTAAGACTTTTTAAGACCTTATTAATGCCAGCTTAAATGCAATTTAAGACAGAAAAAAATGTAAGTATAAAGAGTGGTAGAGGGATCCTGTGGTGCTACAATCAGTCATCGCAAAAACCCAAGTAGCGCCAAGCTACGAAAACAAAAACAGTTTGCACTTACTCGTGATAGATGCAGAAAAGCTAAGTAGCTAGCTAGCTAGTAAGAGTATTTTAGCAGCTAGTTAGCAGTAGCCTCATCCGCCTCGAGTCACAGAACGGAACAAAGATTTTTGAGCCAGATCAAACTTTTGGGGGGGAAAAACTGCATACATAAATAGTTCTGCCACAACAAAATGTATGACTGGTGATTAATGTATTTCATGCAAATTTGCTTCTTTTTTTTTATTATTAAAGAAATTTAAGACATTTTCAGGCCTTAATTTCAGATAAAATCAACTGAAGACTTTAAGGCTACACAGACACCCTGTCACATTGCAATTATGCACTACCTTGTGCTGGTCTCTTACATTAAATCCTAACAATGGATTTTGCAATTGTTACATGACAAGACGTCAAACGTTTATGGGGTATGAATACTTCTGCAGGGAACTATGCATCATATCTGACCTGCAGCAAGTAAACGACTCTGGTCAGCTCCTGTCCCCCACGTACGACTGGCTGCAGGATCCAGCAGCTGGGCAGCATCTCCGCCCGGATAGCATCAACGCTCGGCCGGGGGAGAGACTCCTCGAACACAGACTGCACAGCCAGCACACGCAGGCCACCCTGAGCCAGAGAGAGAAGACCATCAATAAAACAGCCGGTAAAGCCTTTTGATCAGCTAAGAGGCAACTCGACTCTGACAACGATAACAAATAGCTGACAAACACTGCCTCTGGGTCAGTGTCGTTCATGCTTTCTGTTCAGTGAGCGTGAGGCGTCGATAAAGTGTGTGTTGTACATTTAGTGCAAGGGGAAAATTCCACCGGCTGCCGCTGAGCTGCTGCTCGCACGGTATCTAACCTGAGCAAATGGAATTTTCTCCTTACATTAAGGTGTGCAGTCGCCGCCGCCGCTCGCCTGACCTGAACACAAGGGGAGACCGGCTGCAATCATCTGGGCTGCCCGGTTGATTTTGCGGCCGGGCTTACCTGCTTAGCCTGAGTGCTGATGCAGCAGAAGTCCCGCGGCTGGCTGAGGTGGCAGGCAGACGGGTCTGTTAGGATGTAAACTGTGCAAAAAACAAAGATATACCGAAGTCATAGTGAACAGTTAGTACGGTGTTTTAAAGCTAATTTCTGTAACAAAATAAAAAAAATACATTTAGAGGCCCTTTAAATAGCATTCAACCACAAACGTTTCATTGTCAAGTTAACATTTTATTTGACGGGGTCTGCATAAGACTGACATCACACTGTCATAAACATGACATAACACCTGTTATGAACACAAAGGAGCCTTCATTAATGTTTTGGCTGTTGCCATGAAGTGTCATTCGGTAAATAATGACACTATTAATGAAAAGTTGCATCAAAGGGCATTAACAGCCTGTTAAAATTGTCAACTGTGCATTAAGAGTCATTATTTCCACTTTATGACAACAGTCGTAAACATTCATGAAAACTCCCTCATCATGACAGATGTTATGTCACGTTTATGACAGTATCGTGTCAGTCGCATGCACATCCCATCAAATAAAGTGTTACTGTTTAGAGTATTTTATTGCTATTCTACAAAAGTTGACAAAAAGCTTTGAGTAATTGCAGGGGAAGGAATAAATAACAGACTTTCAACATTTTACACAAAAGTGACATCCATTTTTAGTCAGCCGCAATGAGACAATAACTTGTAAGAGCTGTAAGAGTGAATGTGGTTGTACGATTCAACAACACATGGAGAAAGGAAGCAGTCATAGGAGAGAAGAGTTTGCAAGAACAAAATATACTCATATAAATATTACTCATATAAAAATACACACCTTAAATTTCATGTTTAAATGTACACACCTATAAGAGGTTGTAGGGTAGAGTGGAGAATGTTATTGGCTCACCCAGCTGAGTGCTGTCATCTAGTGGTCGTGTCCACACAGAGCGAACTGACTGGTTATACATGTGGCTCTTGGACATCTGGCTGATTACGTTCCACAAACTGTCCGGGGGTCTTTCCACCTCCCCGACCCCAAGAAAACCATGGACAGAGGGACTGGAGGAAGATTTGTGGTACGCCTGAATTCCTCGTTCTTCCCCTTGGTGACTGAACAAATTAAGATGTTTCAGTAAGATGCACACGTACATTAGTTAGTTTATTTTAGGTTTGTGAGGAAAGTGTTTTTACAAGCTGAGAGTATTTCAAAATGTTAAGCCAGAGGAAGCTCACCTCCACCCAGCAGAGGCTTTGCCCCTCAACAAGTTACCCGAATCCCCAAAAGAAGCCAGTCGGACCTGGTGAGAAAGAATCTCTCGCTGAAACTCTGAACAAATACCTGAAATACCACGTCACAAAAGTCTCAATTCTTTATGTATTAGTAGAAAAATAGCAAACAAATGCAGTGATTTCTTAGGAAAAAAATAAGTGTTAGTACAACTCTTATTTTATACAACCACCTTTATTTTTTAACACAGAATTATCTTGGCAATTATTTTTTTTTACATAACAGCTAATAAACAGGCTGAGGAGCATCATCAGGATGTGATGATCATCAGAAACGTTCAACATTGCATATCCGTGTGACCCAAAATTCAGACGGTACATATTTTATATTCTATTAGGTTTTAAATCCAAAACTCACTGATTAGAGCACAGTTCTAACACATGACACATTCTGTGCAATTATTTAAAAAAAATAACTTTAATGTTTGTTATTTTCTATTCTCATGCATACTGAAGTTGACTTAACCCACAGAATCCAACATTTCGATTCAGTCCTGAAAAGACATTTTTCACTGATTTCCCAAGGTTCCCATACAGTTTTCCTTATAAAATTCCAGATCTTTCCATGATCGAATTTTTAGATTTTATTTTTCATGGTTTTATCTTTTAAAGACTTTAGTAATTTCATTTGAAAGTGTTCATTTTGAACCTGCATGAATAGCAGTCAAGCTAATCTAAATCAACTCTTTTTTTAAATCTCCGATTCTGAATGGAAAATTATTAAGTGCAGAATCGTTAAACAGTTTTTGAACTTTGCTAGTTGTATTTCGAGAGATATCTCAAAGCTACACTGTCCAGTATTATAGAAAACTTGTCAAATACATAATTACAAAGCGAACCTTTAATAGAAGCACTGAGGAAAAATAAAAATTCTGTCAACTTTACCTCAGCCAGAGCCCGACAGACGAGGGTGGAAGTGATGTCTTGATATGCTGTAGATATGGAGGAGACTGAGCCAAAGGAAGCAGTGCGCTGACGTGCAACAACAGGGGGCGACGGAGAGGAAGTCATCAATGGATCAAAGCTGCTAACAGGAACCTCAAGCCGAACGTCTGATAAAACACATTTTATCAGAAATGCAGCAGGCACGGAAATAAAGACACGTCACCAGTTTCAGACTTGACTACAAACTTAAATCTACTGTAAATACTGCTGCATAAAGCAATCTTTCTACCAAAAGGTTTCTCTTTAAAGGTAAACAGTAAAATAGATGTAATTTTTGTAAAACTACAAAATGTCTATTTGAGGATTAGAAATGAGTCTTGCGCAGTTACCCTGAGCTGACAGCCATGTTTGTTTTGTTTTCACACTCTGGAAACCGCAGACGGGAGGCCGTGTCCTTAGCTTCAACCCCTCGCCCTGGACCCCAAAACTCTAACAACAGACATCAATAACGCAGTAAGTGCCAGAGTTACATCTTACAGTGGAAAAATACTCCAACCACTCAGATTGAGAATTTTAAGAGTAAAGCAGCGTTTTTAATTCCAAATCATCTGTAAAAGTGTGCAAACCTGTTGATTTAATGCTGCTCGGCTACACAGCTGTGGCTGAGTAGTGTTGCCACTGTTGTATCCAGATGTTGGTCCAGAGGAAAGACTCAGACTGGATCCCGTGCACAAAGTGCTGTTGCTGATTATGGTCCGATGCTTCAGGTCGTCCTGAGAAAATCATGTCAGCAGGAGTCAGATTCACTGTGTTTGTGTATCAAAACACTAATATAAATTCATCTTTTCAAACTTTTACAAACTGCTTCAATTTCGGTCTCTTAAAAAATCAAAATTTAATGGCTAGTAGCTACAAACATTTCATTTGGAAGTGAAATTAACAGGTCCAACATTTACTAGGAACGCGTTATTATCTACAGTGAAGTATCTTACAGATTATGAAGCTCACTAGAGGGGATCTTTAGCTACTCCACAATGTCATTTTACACTTGGAGGAAGTTAATTATGGTTCTGCCAATTATAGACGGGACAACTGACCTTTATTCCCTGAGACAGAGTCTGCTGCTGTATCCTCTGTTTCTCCAGCTCAGTCCGCTCTCTCAGCCGTTCTCGAGCCTTAGCGATCTCCGTCTTGGCTTCTTCCCGGGCTCGGCTGTAGTCTCGCAGCAGCTGCTCAATGTCTGGTGGGCGCTGTCTTGCTTCTCTTGGAGGTTCTGGTAAACTGTGGTACAGATGATTTTTTTTAATACCAAATAAAGTAAAACTTCCACACCAGTTAAATTAGCAACATGTACAGCAGAGTGCATGTGTTGTTTTAAAATAAGAACCACAGACTACGAAGCGATCTGGTTACATCAGATCTTGATAACTTCATCAGAACTTTTTTCTCATTAAAACAGCGTTTTTACAACTTTCTTCTGGTAATACTGCATCTATATCCTGCTAATATTTTGACATAACTTTAAAAAAAAAAACAATAATTGGTCTGGGCCTAATGCTCCACTGTACAGATGAAAGTTATTCCATAAGTTGCTAATATCCAGTGACATTCAGTCTCACCCAGTGACTTCTTGTCGTCGATGGCATTCTTTGCGGCGGTTGGGTGTGGGATCAGCTTCCTGTGGCGGCGGGGGATGTTTGCCGGGGCTCAGACTGCGAGCTCTTCTGTAAGTCTGGAGGCGCTCCTCCCTCTCCCGCCTTAAAGCCTCGATGCTCCGGCGGTGCCTGAGAGGATCACGAAATTAAATAGCTGTAACACCTTTGAGGATAAAGAATATGTCTGAGCTGAATTTGCAGCACTGAATTTACACTGTGACCTAAATGTGTGGGTGAATTTATTAAAATGACATTCATGGTCTAGTCAAGTTCCTACTAAGACTTTTTTTTTTTCCTGGTAGATCAGGAATCTGAAAGCAGGAAAAAAAAACATATATTCTGTGAGTCTTTTGCACAGCACATAGACTTAATTACCAGAAGAGCTAAGAGGTGTTTTAGTCTATGCTGAATTGCAAATGTATAGCATATTACTGCAGAAATCTAATTAAGAGTTCATGTGTCAGACCAACACAAAGAGCATAAATGTCAAATGTAAAGGGGAATACATGTGGCTTTCAAATCTGCTTCAAAATGAAACAATTAAATAAAATATGCATAAAAACAAGTTCTTGAAGAATGAATACTTTTCTTGGTCCTCACCTGTCATACAGCTGCTGTTTGGATGCAGCGGAGGTCAGCGGCCGCAGGTCCTCTTTGGACCTTGGGGACAGCATCTTTAACAATGCGTCCGTCTCTCCCAGGCCGTAGTGAAGCTTAGCCTCTGTCAGCTCCACGGTCAAAGGCTTCAGGCTCGTGCTGAGGTTGACGGTCGCCATCACCCGCTCTCTCTCCTGTCGCAGCTTCAGTATCTCTCGGGATCGTCTGTCACTTTGCACCACAACATCCAGGTTTGAATCCGTGCTGTCCACGTCGTCCCATTCAGCGTGGTTTCCGCCGTCTTTGCTTGAGCATCGTGGCTGTTGATTCTGGCTGACTCCTGACCAGTTGGTGAACTTGTTGTGGACGGGCAGGTCGTCTGGGACTACCTGATGGTCATCCCAAGGAGAAAGACTTGTTGCAACTTCGGTGTTCACAAGAACTTCTGTGCTGCACTCGCTGTGCGCCAGTGATACCTCGTCATCCTCTTTCGGTTGATTTCTACAGGCACTAAAGGGTGATAAATGGCTGATGTCGATGCAAACATCTCTGGAAGCACTTGTGAAGTTGGACTCTTGCTGCTTATGTGCAACTTCCTGTCTCATGGTAGGAAAAACGTGGTTGTGCCTCTCTGAGAGGGTCCTGTGGTCGTCTTCTTCTTTGCAGGTCACTTTTCTCTTCACAATGTCTGCGTCTACATCCGATGATGACTTAAGACTTGAAGAACTCGTGCAGAAGTCTTGAGGACTTGAACAACTCATTTCACTCACTCTTTCAAGAGATATTGTTTCTGATTTAGTGGAAAAAACATCTAAACACTGCTTAGCATTTTCAGCAGAAGGAACTGCAGGTGTGCCCTCCTTAGAGGAAAGGCTTGTTTGCTGATTCCTATATTTTGGTCGACACTGTACTGATTGTTTCCCGCTCTGCCTTGAACCTACACTTGTTCCCACAGTAACAATGGGAGATGAGGCACGGTCTGTAAATGTTGCTTGTTTTTTGATAAAACCAGTCGGACTGCTTGCTAAAGACACACTGCTGTTTTCTTGAAAGCACTTTCTTGACGATCTGGAGGTGACTGCAACATTTCTGCGGCTTGATTCCTCAAGAGTGCTTTGCTTCGAGGCCTGAAAGGAAGCAGATTTTGCACGCCTGTGATAACTAGCTGCTGTCTTTGCGAACGCCAATATCTGAGGGTCATTCTCTGACTGAGGTGCAACAGAGACGTTGAAGTTTTGCATTGTCTCAGCATCCTTTTTAACCACTCTGTGCATACTCTTGTCTTCAGGACCAATCACTTTCACAATCACCTTAACTTCATAAGACTTAGCCTCTCTGAGTGTTTCGTCACCAGCAGCCTTGCCGCTCATTGCGTTCACCAGCTCCCCCGTCTGGATTCCAACGTCTAAGGCTGTTTGAACTGAGCGGTCTTTCTTGCCACACCCATGCGGATCACTGCATAGCAAGCTACGATGTGATGAGTTGCTACTCCTAGGACTGGATTTGCTCACTTCACCCGTCCTCATCCCCTGGACATCTCCCAGCAGGTCTGAAGTGCTGTCGATAAGCTTGGAGAGATGAGCTGACATGGTTTCCATGCTTGCCCACGTTGAGGATTTTTTAATATCCACTTTGCTCCTCTGGGACAAAGGAACATCGGTGTTGCTTCTTTTGTGTCGATCTTTCCTCTTCAGGCTGCTGTTACTGATTGTGCCAAGCCTAGATTCAGTTTGAGTACCGTGTTCATGCATCTTTCTCCTTTGAAGCTGCATTTTGCTCGTCTTTGATTCTTGCTCGGATGAGCAAACGAGCATGATTTCATCAACCTGACTTGAGTTAACACCAGAACCGGCAACGTCATTACCGGAACCGTTTATTGCCCGATTGCAGGTCTCTGCCTGTGCTTTCCTGTGCTGTGTGGCAACTCTCTCTTTATAATCCTCAATGCTACTGAGGGTGCTGGAGAGCCCCTTGTTGGTGGCATATGTGCTCAGGTGGGAGTTAAAAGGAGAATTCAGCCCATTCAAGTTATTGTCAGCACTGGAGCATCTTACTAGGCGTTTCTCGGAGCTGTTCAAGAGAGGAGATTTAATAGATAGGTCAGCAGCACTTCCAAACACAGGAGTCTTGTAGCAGTGTTGGTTTGAGTCGCTGTGTTGCCACTGGTGGACAAAGGGGTTGATGTCACTGGATGCAAAATGGATGGGCGAGTCCTGGCAATGTGGTGTGTGCTGGGCTTCACTTTGCTTTTCGTTCAGGTGGCTTTTTTCTGCATCCACCCTCTGGGATGTAGTGTAGGGAGGCAAAAAGTGCCTTGGTGGAATGTGATCCATCTTAAATTCTTTATTTTCACCAGAATTCCCTTTAAGGATTTCTGTCTTACATTTACTTGTAGAAAGAGAAATGCAGCTTTCTTTATTGCTAGTTCTTCCTAACAGCCAGCAATAATGCCTCCTATTCTCTTCCTTCTCCTTGTCATCTTCATCCGATGACTTGAGAGAAGAATCAGAGGAAGAAGCAGGACGGGTTTTGACGTCAGACTTTCTGAACCGCTTTGTTTTTTTCTTTCTAAGAGCAGGATTACCTGGTGTAACAGTTGTGTTTATGGTGGCCTCTTTGGACATTGCGGAAGAACCTGCCTGTGGTGTTTTTAGATCTATAACAGAGGGAACCGTTTTAGATTTCATGCATATTTCATCCTTTGGATTGAAAGAAAAAGTCTCAACCCCTTTATCATCGTTTGCCACACAAAACTCTTTGATGTTGATTTGATGATTTTTATAGAAGTTGCTCTGTGAATTTGGACATTTGCCAGCAACAGAAGTCTGAGCTATGTTCTGTGTACATATTTGTTGACAATTTAGCTGATCCTGTGTTGTGAGAGGCTTGCTACCAGCCTTGTGGTCCAGTTCAACATTTTCTCCATGGGTAGGAGAAAGTTTGATTTGACTGCAGAGGTGTTTGACTGCTTTTACCTGATGACTTAAGAATTCTGCTGCAAGCTGATCAACATTGTTTCCAAATATCTGAATCATGTGTGGTGAGCTTTGTTCAGGTGAATGACTGCTTGTTTTTACATCACTGGTTATGAAGTTCTTACTGACGTCGTCCGAAACAGATGAGAGACACTTCAGATTTGCGTGACTCAAGGCGGAAGCTGTGTCGTGGATACATTTGTGAAGCTGCCGTCTTGAGTGTTGAGTTTGGAGTTGGGGAATGAGATCAGAATTAAAACCATCAGAATCTTTATTTGAGTAAATGTTACTGGTGATCATATCAGGGGCGTAGGTTACTTTGGGTGAAGCTTTGTCTGTTGCTTTTTGAGGTAGAGCATTTTCCCCCTTTGGGTTTCCGAGGCCTTCGTGACTAGTACTCTGTTTCATATGTGATCCCAAATGCCCAGCTGTGATTAATGCATGCACATCGGCACATATTTTTCCTTCTTTCACATCTTCACTCCTCTCATCTTTCAGCTGGTCACGCATCCATCTACTTTCATTACAATCGGAGCTAAAATGACACGCAGACGATGGCAAAATACACAGACTTTGACTTTTGTTCATTCCTCCCGACGAATCCGCATGCTCTTTTATCACTTCAGAGATTCTCAGATCAATAGCGCTGCATATGGCTTCCGACCTGCATACATGCTTTGCTTTTTCTTGATGTTTCCTGTCATCATCAGTAACCCTTTCCGTGACTTCAAAATCTTTATTTGCCATTACATCTCCCCTTCTCACACACTCATTATCTCCTACGGCGGTATCACACTGAGAACTCTTGTCCTCGAAGATTTGGCCGCTTGGTTCAAGTTCGATGTTCTGAAGATCAGAAAGTGGCCTTGAATCTGAAGCGACCAAATGTTGTATATCACTGCCATCAACAGAAGAAGAGTGAAATCCTTGGCTGTTCGACTCCCCTTTGGAGTCACTGCTGCTGTTTTCATCATCAAACCAAACACCTTCCAAGCCGTCACCTGGTGCCAAGGAGAAAGTTTCCAGCTCCCCGCTGTCGCTCCTCTTTGGAATTTTCAGGCAGCCCATAAAAGCGTTCTGGTGGTCTTTGTTCCTCTTCCTGGAACTTTTACAGGCCAATTTAACAACTTCCTGCTGGGGAGCAACGGACAGCTCATTGCTTTTGGTTTCCTCCCATTTAACTGATCCGTCTTCTGGGTTCCTAAAATAATTTAGCTGTAAATCTCGGACATTTTCAACACCTACATCTGTTGAGTCACATGGTGCAGGCTCGTGAAATGTGTTTGATGTTGCTTGGAGGATGTCTTTTTGTGACATGCAAACAGTTTGATGCGCAGATTCTGGAGGAGTGTTAAAGGTCGTTGTATTGATTTGTCCAAACCGATCTGTTGGGAAATCTTCACAGTTACCCAATATCAAAACATTTTCTAAAGCTCCATAAGCTCCAGAATCTCTCAACCCTACATGGCGCTGATTGAGCTCTGAACTATTTAAAGCCTCAGAGTTGAAACATCTAGAATCGCTGTGCGAGTCTGACAGATTCCCGCTAACTGGACTCGGACCGCTGCTGTTATTGTCTGCATTCAAGAGCAAAACTTTTCTTGGTAAAGGCAGAGAAATCCCATCAATCCTCTGGGTTTCAGGCATATCTGCAGAGGACCAAACATCAGCGAGAGCCAGCAGGCTTTCTGGCTGTTTCACACCGCAGCTGCCAGTCTGCAGGTTCCTGAAATCATCGATCAATTTGTGCACACTGACCGCTTCTAATGAACTCTGATTTTGGGATTTCCTTGTGGCGTCACGACTCAAATGCGCCTCCGCTGCGGGTACGGAATCTGTTACTCGCGAAGTTTCAACCGCTGCTTGTTTGCGCTTTTTAACCACTGAGAATTTCCAGCTGTTCTCCACGGTTAAAGAATCTTTAGACATTTCGCTGTCGATGCTTTCTGCTTCGCTCGGAGCCGAATCTTCACGTGTCAAACGCTCAGCCAGCGCGGCCGCGTAAGCAGAGGACAGAGAGTCGAGAGAGAAAAGGCTCTCGCAGTCTGACGTTGCTTCATCCCCTTCCTCTTGCTCTTCGAACCATCCAAAAGGTTTTGGATGGTCTTCCACACAACCGTTGCTCTTGTTCGTCAGTGCCTCGGTGCTATGCCAGCGTCTCTGTTTGTGGCTATCAAACAGGTTCCTCTGATCAAGCTCCTCGCATGACACAGTTGCTTTGATGGTACCATTCTGATTAGCTGAAGAACCTTTTGGGCTCTTGTCTGCTCTTCGTCTCCAAGGGAATTTACCTGCAATCCTCCCAAGAGGCTTAAGAAGTCTCCGTCCCTTTACACCTGAAGGGGATTTTCTGAAAACTTTGGATAGAGCCGTTTTTATCCTGGGCCCCACAAAATGAGACAATGATCTGCTGATGGTTTTACTTCCACTGTTGTCTCCTTTTCCATCCATGTCTGTTTTGGATATTTGTAGATTTTCTTTACAGACGGGCAGCAACGCAGCTCTGAGAGGCGATTTTGAGACAGATGTAGGATTTTTACCCAATTTGTAATTAAATAACATGTCTCGGTTTGGCAGCAGAGGTTTTCTTCCCAGTTGGCCCAAACATGGTTGAGGCTGTGGTTCCTCAGTGTGTCTGGTGTTTCCGAAAGGGTTTACTTTATTCTGACTGTGTCCAGAGGAGATGGGGCCTGAGCAACTTTGGGTTCTTCCTCGAGGGATATACTCCTCAGAAACCCACTTTCTGCCGCTAATGGGATCGGACGGAGTTGCTGAATTTAAAGATTGTTCCACAGATTTGTTTCTCTTGAGGAAGTGCCTAATAATGGGAGGAAAGGAAAAGAAAGATTTAAGATTAAGCTAATTTAAATCAAGGGGGACAAAAAGTCAACACACTTACCTGAAGACAGGTGTACGCTGCGGGTAGAGCCGAGACAATAGATCTGAAAACGAGTGTCTTCGTGATGCAAAGGATTGTTCTTCCAGCTTTGAAGGTGATCCCATCTCTAGAGGCTGTCGGCCGTTTGGTCCAGGAGGAAGTTTACTTTCCAGCTGCTGCAACTCTCTCTTAGCGTCCAGCAGGTGGCGTTTGTTGGCGATTTTCTGCAGCTGGCAGTGTAGCTTTTTCCGACGGATGCGACCCTCGGCGCAGCGGAGGGCGTGATGCTTCAACAGCTCATCCTGCACGGTTTTCTTCCTGGCCCTCACTGCCTTGCAAGGATATTCAACGATGATATTTTTCTGACTGATGAACACCCGACTTGTAAGTTTCTCCAGAAGAGGAGCGGGGAGGGGGTCGGTTTGGACACCAGAGTCTTGCTTGACTCTCTCCTCCACTGTTTTCAGGAGGAGTTTCTCATGCAAAATCCACTGATGCACTGTTGTGAAAAGAGAAAAAAACAATGCTGATATGCACTACAAACTAGGCTATTTTCAAAATGTACTTTGTATATCCTATTTTATCTAATGTGTCTGTAGACCTAATGTAATCAATAAAGCTTTCAGCTGTGACTCCTTTGAAAATGTTACCACCTTTCATTTTTCTTCCACTTTACAGCTATACAATGCAAACATCACATTAAATCCCACTGAAATAAAGGCAGATTTGTGGTTTTAATGACCAAATGTGGAAAAGTTCAAGGGTATGGATGCGTCTTCAAGGCATTGTATAAAAAAGGTGCAAAAATTTTGATTGCGACGTATTTCCAATTTGATTTTGACTTTTGAAACTGAAACTTACAGGAACATTTAATAAGAGAGAAAACCTACTGTCAGAGTACTGCTGCCGGAGCTGGGCCTGCTCCCTGTCCAGCTCTCCGTCGGCCCTTCTCTGGTCCGCCTGAATCTCCTGCCGCAAACTCTCCACATAGCGCTTCTGCTCCTCCACGCGCCGTCTGACTGCAAGCTCCTCAGTGGAATCCAGGTTCAGTTCTTTGACACTGGAAAAACAGAAGCGGGACTCACGGAATGAGTGAGTCCCGTGAAATAACGAAGCAATGAAAAAAAAAGCATCTCAACTTCATCCGTGGATCACTTGATAACAAGACTACATTATGATTTGTTGGTTGTGCAGGGAGGTTTCAAACAAAAGCAGTCGTCAGCAGTAACTAAGCAACGCCCCGATGCTGAACTGTAAACAGCAACCGGGGACAGTTTGATATGTTTGAAACCACCACCAACAGCAGCATGAAGTACTGCCTGGATGTTGTTATAACTCTTAACTCCTAGTAAATGTTTATAATCAGAGAGCTGCAAAGAGGTCCGACTGCACTCCACACACACATACACCCACACACTCATGTGAGTGATGAATAACGTGAGATGTAATTGCTCTTGTTCTGAGTTTTTCCTTGTGCTTGAGGACGGTACTTACTCGTCATCAGGAGTCACGGAGCAAAAGTCAACATAGCTGCACGTCGAACCACCTTCACTAACCTGAAAACGGCAAAATAAAAAAAGCAGGTTTACTTTAAAACACTTTTTAATCACCCAAAAACGTAACGTTTATGCAGATCACGGTGGATTAAATGCTAATTTAGGTGAGCAGGTACCTACCCGTCTTCGCTCCCGAAGGACGGCTGCCTCTGCCGGGTGGTTGAAGCGGAATTTATGCGCTCCTCCCAACGTAATCACGGTCCCTGGAGGTGCAGAGAGGTATTCTTTGTAACATGCTGCGCTCAGCTCATTGCAAAGTTCAGGACACAGATGTGCGCATTTGCTGCTGCTTTTGAGTGTTTGCCTGCTCCTTCCTCAACAGGTACAATTTTAAATTACACGACATCTTGAGATTAACTGCAGTCACGAGTCCAAGATATCCGACTCTGTTGATTTTTCCGAATCGTCGTCCAGCGTGGACACAGACGTTATTACCCAGCGGTTTTATTGACGACCACGACTGACCTTGAGCCAGTCTGCAGGGCTCGGTGACCTCTCTGTCGTTGAGCAGGCAGACGCAACCCGGCAGCGGTCGCAGCGTTACCACACCCCCGTGGTTTTCAATCTCGCAGCGGGAACTGCCCTGAACGACTACAAACAGGATTCAGAGACGGCTTCACACATGCTGATATAGAAAGATGTGTCGACGCTCTACAGATGCAACGTTCAACATAAATGCACATTTAAAATCATAAAAAGTAACTAAAAGATTATTTAACTTTACATGACCCACTCTATTATGTAGCAGTTACCTTTCACAAGAATGAATTTACAACTTAAGAAAAAAATATATGTATTTTTTACCTATATGTGGTTCTTCACACTGCTCATGAGGTCCAATGCGGGTAATTCCCTCCTATAATAAAGGAAAAAGTGCAAAAGGATCAGTTGTAATAACAAAAACTACACAAATGAAGACAATACTGAATAAAATAAATGCATTTTTTTTTCTGAATTAAACCATTTTTCTCCAACAGTGCATGTTTTGGTAAAAATCGCCCACCCTTATTATTTTGACATGTTTTTCTGAAAGCCTAGCATTTTACATGTAAGCTGTATTTGTCTGATCTGAATCAGTTTGATAACCTAACCTAACTTTGAAGTTAATTAAATTCCACATAATCAATTTTAGAAATAGGTAACTTCTAAAGTTCCGCTGGATTTTATTTTGAGATATTAGGGTTACTAGAAAGGCATCGGGTGTAAATACCAACAAATTTTCTTACTTTCATTTGTAAAACAAATCAAAAATCATGCATAATTTTCCTTCCATTTCACTCTTATGTACAACTTTGTCGACTTAAAGTCTCAATAAAAAACATTCAAGAATCACTGTGCTGGAAGGGATTCTGAGTGCAGTTTGACTCAAAATGTGAATGTTTTGGCACAAAGTTGCACCAACACTTTCGAAAGAAAAGGAAACAGACAAAGCCCTGCAGGTAAAGGGGTGAGGCATAGGGAGGGGGGCGCTACGATAACTCACTCCAACAGTGAACAGCGACGTACAAAAATAACTACATTCTATTCTAATCTTTAAACTAAACCTGACAAGTAAAAAAGAAAAAAACATTGTTTACTCTTTTGTGTTATCGAAAGAGTATCAAGATTTTCTTATATGATTTCAGGACCACGCAAGTCCCAAGTGGTCACATGTGTGAAACGGTGTAATCGTCAAGCCTGAGGATATCCCTGTCAATGTCAGAATCGGGACAGTTTAGGCTCCTCCGAGTTCCCGTCGGAGAGCTAACAGCGTTTGATCCGATCGCGCTTTGTGAACGGCAGCAGAGAGACACAGACGTACGCTGAAGAGGGGTGGGGGGAACTGACAGGACAGAGGGAAGGCAACACAACACACCTTTAGTCAAGAGGGGTTTTTTTAAAGCAGAGACAAATAGTGTGAGGAGGAGAAGAGGAATCTGGATAAGAAGAAGGAAAAGGTTGGAGTCAGGAAAGCTGACAAAGATGCTGAAAAAAGTAGAGCAAGTCTAAAGGAAGCGCTTGATTTAAGCATCCTGCCGTGTATTTTTCTAACAATGTGTGATAGATGTACATCTCTAGGGTTTAAAAAATGTGAGACAGGAGGATAAAAGATTATCAGAAACGTAAACAAGGCCATAAACACTTTTTTACCACAGTATAAACTACTGCCAAAACTAATCTAAAAACAAATCTGATTTCACAAAATAAAAAAACTGACTGTTCTCGAATGATTTACACAAGAGTGCTGCAGATTTAATCTTTTTTTTTTTTTTTAAGGATTTTCATACCCTGAGGTGGTAAAACACAATCCCAGTACTGAGGACATCTCTATCCAGAGAAACTAGGTGTGGCTGAAGGGAGTTGATGAGGAAACCGGCCCGGTCTCTGTTGATGTCCACACTGTAGCGCTCCAGCAGCTCCTTCTTGTCTCTCCAGCTCTCCGACCAGTCCTTTGTTAGCTGCTCCACCTGCACGGAGGAACAAATGAACTGTTGGAGCGACTCGAGGAACAGCATAAAAGTGCGATTTGAGAAAGAAGTGGATGTTTGGGATCTTGTTTCTTTCTCCGGTACCTTTAGCTCGTTCTGTAGCACCATTTCCGAAAGGTTCCCGTCTCTCTCATCACTCAGAGACGGGCTGGGATTACGCTGCTGTCCATTTATAGGGCAAAAGAAATAATCAGTCAACATATTGCACAGTTTAAAAAAATTATACATGCATCAAGACGCACCGCAGCGTCTGAAATGCTTGAACAGTAAAACATTACCATACCAACTCAAAGCTGAGCAGCATGCTCTTCAACCTGTCGATCTCCTCTCTCAGCTCCCGGATGAGCCGCACATTTGGATCCTGCACAAAGGGTTAAAGCTAAACGAAACCTGATCAAAGCTTCTGATCTCACATTAAATGTATTCAACACTATCAGTACAATTTTGGCTTAATTTTTGCTCTAGATATGCTGGTTCCTTTTTTTTTTTTTTTTAGCAAATAGCTTTTTTTGAGTCTGTGTGCTCCAAATAACGATTGATAGATTACTGAAATAGTTCATGATTACTTCAATAATCGATCACTCACAATTAATTGTTTAAGAATTCATTTAAAAATATTTGTAAAATGAATGAAACATTTATGAAAATAAATAAAAACTAATGAAATGTAAAATAGGGTATTACTTGAGCAAAAATAAAACAATAAAACCCAAGAAGTTAAACAGAAATAAAACACGTCACAAAAAATCCAAGAAAAATGCCTTCTTATATTATTTCAATTTACTTTCAAGAACCTGAAGAGCCACTCACCTCATTAACACGAGGCTTGTTGACAATGTTCCTGGCATGCGCAGCGTAGCGCAGGGTGCTGAGGGTCTCGTTGTAGCTGTTAGCAGAGGGCGACACCGCTGCAACACAGTGACATGCACAAAAGCACCAGAATAAAAACGTCTGATATGAATTAAGAACAATATTTCTATCAACGCATCAAAAACGGCAGTGTTTCCGATTAATAGTTGACATATTGCTTCAGCGCGTGCATGTAAACAACAATCGTTTGGCTCCAATCTGAAAAGCAATACTTACTTGCGATCATAATTGTCTTGGAGTTGCCGCCCAGACTGTCTTTTAGCAGCCAAGTCAGGACCGAGTCTCTGTAGGGAATGAAGCAGAGCCTTCTTCCACCTCCGGCTCCGCCAGACAGTGAGCTGCTGTGACTGCCCAATGTGCTGCTGTCACCCTCAGAGGCCACGCTGTTGATGCTCTGACAGCTGCTCGACATCTGGGAGTTCTGGGCTGTGGCAGTCGAGGTAAAGAGGTGGAAGGGCGTGAAAAGAGTGTAAAAAAAAACAAAACAAAAAAAAAATACAGGAACGTGTAAAACATGAGGTCTGTTTGATCCAAATAAAAACACATGCTGGAGTGCCTTCCAAAAGTTCTCACAAACAAAAGCTTCAATGGATCTATTGAGAACTTCTTTGTTTGTACGAACACAAGGTGTAACCATGAGGTAGAAGGAAATGGTAAATGATTTAATACCGATTCATAAAAACAATTACAACAAATGGGGAAGGAAAGGGTACAAAGTGACTCAACTTTTTACACTTAATACATGTTAAAAACAATATGCAATGATTCCTTTTGTGTATTTTATTACATAATATTCTTTTACATAAAATCCCAATAAAATACATTGAAGTTTTTACATTTAAAAATGTAAAATGCGCTATATATTCTGATCTGTGAGGAACGTCTGGCTTTATTTACCCAGAGCAGAAATGACAATGCCCAAAGTGACCAGTGACTTGTTGATGTTGGAGCCCTCTGTCAGTCTGTCCCGGCAGTACTGGGGGTCTGCTCTCTCACTGTCAGACACAATAGAAGCATTAATGGAGATTAATGCCGTCCTTCATTGAAGAAAAATCTGAGGGCTGCAGCTAATATCCACCAGGGGGCACTTTTAGGAACGATTTCACAAGAGGGGGAAAAAACCCCCCCCATCAAAACCACTTTCACCTTCCAGCCAAGTCCACCAGGTTAATCTTGCTGACCGTTTCAGAAGGCAGGTTGTTTTCTAGTATTGCCTGTGGAAGGAGAGACAATCTGTAAGCACTAAGCTGGCAAAACTGTACAATTATCACTTCTTATATGTTGCATTTATTAACTGAGAACACTTTACAGAAGCTGTGAAACGTGACCACCTGTGTGTACTGAATAGTAAAGATGGCATGCGATCTGCTGCTGGTGTCGTGGTTGTGGGTTGCTGCCGTCATGCGGTTAGCGATGCCTTCCTCCAGGAGGTCGATGGCCTGTTTGCAGTCAGTGACCATGTGCTGTGAAAGGTCTGATTTTAACGAGACAGAAAAAACACTGAAGATTTACTATTTAATCATGTTTTTCCACAATGGAAAGTAATCCAATTGAACGTTTTATTGAGAAACTCCCTGTGAATGGTTCCACCAACAACAAGGTAATTCTTGCTTAATAATTTTGTTTTTTACATGGGTTTACATTTCTCTACTCATAAAAATGCCTGTCTGTTATAGATTATTAATCTGAATCCTATTACAGAATCGAAACTACAAAATCAACTTAAAAACAAAAAGACTGACGGTAAAATTTGGACCATCAATTTGAGATTTAGGCAAATATTCTCAAATTTAGGTAAAAATTTGCTAAGTGAAGTGTGTGTGTCTTCATGTGTGATGAAGGGGTTTGCTTGGAAGTAGAAGGAAATGACATCACTTCCTGTGGACCACTGGGATTTCTCCTGATGCAAACAATGAGTGGATGCGGGGCTTTAAACACAAGCAGTTGCACGGTTTGGAAAATAAACAGATGTAGAACCAGAGGAAGAACAAACTGTGATGAATCGATGCAATATTTTAGGAATTATGCCTCTGAAATTTGTCTTTAATATATCTCAGAAACCAAATTCATCCTTATGATTACAGTTTTATAGTTCAAATTTACAGGCAAAAGCCTTTCTCAAAATACTCATTCATTTTTCTCTCAAAATCACCTTAGCTCCTGCAGAAATTTAGAAGCTAAAATACAGCTACATCAATTATGAACGACTATACAGTACCTTGAGTTTTTACCATAGGGGTATGCACCGAGTAGGAATATTTGAGTCCAAGAATAAATAAGAGATCCCTCGGTTTTGGAGCAGTGAGAGGTGAAGGAGTTAAGCATCTCTATATAAATCCATGTCTGGCTAAAATAGCAAAGACTCTTAAAACCTTATCCTTAGGAAGTACACCTTAAACCCTTGCTGTGAAACATTTAATATATTAAAAGGGTAAAAAAAAGAAAAAACCTTCAACATATGGCCCCTTCTCAGGATGTTCTCTGACTCTAAGGGACGTCCTCTTCTTCTGCTCTCCTCTCAGCAGATCTCTTACACGCTCATTGTAGATCTCCAAAAAGCTGCAGAATGGAAGATAAACATCAGATTCAAAACATCGTCAGAGATGGATAATTTGATGATGCGCATTGGATCTATGCTACAACAGCGTTACTTCAGCTGCAGGTCTACCGTTGAGTAGTAATTTTTCAAACTTAGTACACTGACATGCAAGGAGTTGGATGATAGCGCCATCTGATTTCATCCAAAAACAAGATGTGACCCATTTCATACTCTGTCAAATGTTCTCTGATGTATTTACAAGACATCATGTGTGTGTGTGTGTGTCTTTTAATCATGACTTCCAGTCAGACGACTGCATGCAAGATTCCTCTCCCGTTTCTTGAGTTTTTGTCGGCAAGTTTAATTTCAAAGACCAAAGTACCCCCCCTGACCCACCTGATTTCCACTCTGCTTGAGTTTTGGCCATCAGAGAAAGAGTCTTCAGGACAAAACAAGCCCTGTAAAGGAGATAAGAGCTAGAAATGACCCAACACCAATAACCACCGCAAATTCAAAAGGAAAATTAACCGCCTGCAAAAGCGATATGTCCTACCTGACAAATGCGAGGCGTCAGTCCAATGGACTCCTGTAAGACAAAGAGAATGATGGATGGATGGACATACAAATTAGTCATTTTCTCCACAGAAGAAAATGTTTTATGGAGCTTGTCTTCTCGTATTATTAAAGCACAACAATTATTCTTATCACGATGCAAAGTTTATAGCATAGTCCTCACCGGTGTGCCCATCATGGTGTACGTCTTTCCTGATCCCGTTTGGCCGTAAGCAAACAAGCACACATTGTAGCCCTCAGATGCTCCGGCCAGCACCGACACACCCAGATCCTGGAAGACCTGTGGAGATTTGGAAGCACTGCTTGAATCACAAACACATAAGACAACCAGAGCACTGTACAGACAGAGGATTAGATGATTCAGGAGAGTGTTGAATGGTAACAAAAACAGTGTAGGGGAAAAAAGTAAGATTGCTGGGAGCATATATGAAAGTTTCTTTTAGTAAGAAAAAAAAATGCTTGAGATCTTGTGGAGTGTTGAAGAGTTTATAGCGTTACAGCAAATGCCCTTGGTTTGAAACGCATTGTGTTTTTACAAGAGTGCAGCTCCTACACCAAGGTTTTCTGATCACAGTGCAGTGGCATCAGGCCAGTCATGGGGAGGTACTGTTGCTTCCTGATGAAGTGTTTGTGTAAGGAGCAAGGAGGTCAGCTAATGCCCTGCGTAAACAACTTCCCAGAATGTGTATTTGAAGAAAACGTGATGGCCAAAAAGCTGAAAAATGCTTGGGTCAGGAGAATAAACAAGCTCACAAAGCATAGTTCTGGGGATCCCAGAAAAAGGCCCAGTAAAAACAATCAGCTGAGGCCTTTTGTTTTCTTTTCTTCTTCTCTGAGCTTCAGAGGCAAAACCGAACCATCGCCACTTTAGACTGACACATACATCAACCATATTTCTTGAAAACCATGGTACAATCTCCAAAAAGCAATCGCCCAGAGGTCCATCCTAACAAAAAATCTCATCAAAAAACACAATCGAAAATCAGATGAATGCTGCGGACCGTCTGCGTCTCCCTCTCTTGCGGTCGTCTGTGCAAATGTGAAGATACATGTGAAGCGTTTGGCAGTTACAATTAAAAAAAAAAAAAAAAAAAAAAAAAAAAAAAAAAAATTAAAAATAAAACCATTTCCCGAAGGAATGTGTTCTCAATTGAAAACACAATCCAAAGGCAACACATGCCTAAGGGAGTGGCAACCTGATCTACACACACAGAGCGTTCTACCTCTGAACCGTAACACACCCTGGGATCAGTGAGGGGTCCCCTTTCCTGGCCCCAGGCTCAAGACTGGAACCTGGACAAGGAGAAATGGGCGCACATGTAGAGGAAAGTAGGAAAGCTCTCAAAGCTCCAACAAGCTCATAAATTTAAACACGGGTATATTTGCAATAAGAAGTGCTTTATAATGTGACTATCATCCAGTCTCAGGAGACGTGAGAAGCTTAAGTAGGATCTGACTGAGAGATGTTGTAAAAACACCAAGAGAGTCAAAATGTCCTTTTCTTGACATTAGTTTGATTATTTTAAATTAGTTTTAAACTACTCAAATGCCTGTTATTAGATGAAATGAGTTAAAAGTAACATTCAGGCTTTTCCTGGCTGATACCGATTTTGTTGCTAGCTCTGATTTTGATTGATTCCATTTTTCCCACCAAGGGACTAGGAAAAAAAAAAAAACAAGAAAAATGTGTTTTGGGTAGTAACTTTAAAGCCAACAGAAAATGAAGGAGCTACAACATTACAAAGCATTTAGCTGATTGTTCCCAACTAAAATAAGGAAAAAGCACAAGCTGTTTTTGTTGATGCATTTTATCCATCTTTTATCCTGGATCTTGATGCATTGCCTGAAACCTGTTGACAATTTAGATTCTGGCATTTTTATGGAAACAAATGATCTTTTCCGGAAAAAAATACGAGCAAAAAACTAATTTATCTGCCTGGACACCTCAACTACAGCACAGACTATGACAAAGGTAAAAACATAACTCAATATCAATCTGCCTTTTTCTACACTTTTAAATCTCTATGTGTATATGCCCATTTTTTATGTGGTAATTTTCTGTCATAGTGCCAGGAATGGGGTCAGGAACTGAAAGACCTAAATTTTATGCACTAATAAATTCCTACCAATAGTAAGATGACATAAATATGTCATTCGTTGCTTGTGAAACCTAAAATCATATCTGATTTGGAGTAAGCAGATCTGCTGATCTTTTTTAGATGACGGTGAACTGTCAGAACCCAAGCACAAATGGGTGGAGGATTTTCATCCATCTCTAAGTTTTACTTTACTCGTAAGAAGAGCAGTACGCTTGCAGGGCGTCTGGTGGCCACGTTGAGGATAGATTATTAAGCCACATTTGTGTTGTGTTGGTTACTGTCAGATTGCCGATGGACAATAATCCACGAACCGCAGGAGATATTTATCTTTAACGCCAGCTGAACCCGAAGGTTAATCTTTGACAAAATGAAATAAATAAGCTTATCATCCATGCTTCGAAACAACATAATAGATGTGTGGTTATTGTCACAGACAAAAACATTTAGCTAAACTGCTAACCAGTGATTTTTAAGAATGCTGCTCACTATATACCAAATCAAACTGCTTTGAAGCAGCTATCAAAATGCAGCTTACTAATGTAATCAATCCTGGAGCAGTATGAATGAGGTGGGCAGGGTGAAAATGGTGGAATTTATTAGTTTCGATGCATTTACTAAACAGGGAAATTTGATGTGTATGACGTGTCGATCGGTGATCAGTCCCAACTGAAGGAAAGGTTGTGGGTGACTGATCAATGCATCTTTATAACAACCAGTTTCCCAAAGCACAACAGGAACTTAAATTTTTGTATACACATGGGTAAAAATGTAGATCTTATAATGTTAAAACAACATACTTTATGGAAAACATCTAAATCTAGTCATAAAAGTGTGACGTCAAAGCATATCATTTAACTGTGGTTCAATAATGGAAACCTTGACAATAAACGTCAACTCTTTTTACCTCCCACCTCTTGACTGAATGGTGGTTTTAAGCACTTTCCTGTCTCGTCTTCATTCTGCGTTTCAAAACAGACACAGACTCTCTCCTCACTCAAACACAGAATCAATACAGCTCTTGTTAAAGTTGACCCTTTAAACTCACTCTATAGGCGCCACAACAATACCGAGGATCCCCTCTGGCTCTTCACAAAGACACGGACGTTTCCTTTAACTACCCGCTCCTTTAGATCTGAAACAATCCTAACCTGCTGAACACAATTCCGATAGTTTTTCACCATAATTAGCATTTCTGTTTTACTTTAAGTGAGAAAAACACTGAAGAAAAAAAAACTTTAAAGTAATCTCAGAATCCTGAAGGGAAATAATTCAGAGTCCACGAGTGTGTCTAGACAAGAAAAGTCATGCAACATTAAAAACAATACTATTGTTTATCATTGCTGTCACAACACATTACAATCAAACTGTAATTTGTGCTTGAGTACTTTGTCTAACTTGGATACAATAGCCTTCTGTCACAACCTACTTTCAAAGTTTGAAATACCCCTGCAACACTGGGGGATATTTTTGGACCAACAAAGCAGGTGAGGTAAGAAGCAAGCTGCATTCTGGGTACTGAAATGTGCTCCAGACTCGAAACGAAGCAGGGGAAAGAGCCTGGAGATAAAGTCATTGGGTCGGAGCCACGGAAAGAGAGCTGGCCAGTCGGAGTTCCGAAAACAACACACGGGACAGACTAAACACATTCATGCTCAGCAAGGCTGTTCTCGTCGCTGGACCACTGCACACGAGTGCCTTTCTTTGCATGTGTGTATGTTCAGCCAGTTAAGAGCTTAAGCGGAAAAAACCTGGAAGACAAAAACAAAAGCCTCAAACTTTTGCTTCCTTTTCTGAGTAAAAAAAAAAAAAATCATAGTCTTGCAATGAATGAAAGGAACAGGAGACCACAGATTTCCTTATTATGTAGGATATGTATGAGTGATTAGGAGAGAATGTAGGGACGAAACATGGCTCTCTGGTAAAAGCCTGAAAGAGAAAGCCTTCAGGTAACCCAACTGCTAGGATAGCATTAGTCAAAGAAACAGCAAGAAGTTGACAACTCTGAACAAGATGGACAAGAGACAGTGGGAAGGGAAAATTTGATAAGACAGACATACAATCATTATCTGGAAATTCCACAAATCTGCCCCTTATGGAATTGGAGACCAGTCCTGAAGCAAGAGCGGTCTACAGCGCAGGGCTTTCTGGGTAAATACATCCAAAACAAATGCTAGTGTAGTCTAGCGGAAGAGATCCCTTGTGGTCTTTAACCAAAGACAAAAAAGGAATCCAACAACCGCTAAAATTTGATTTTTGTTCATATTTTGTGAAGAAGGAAGTCGCGGCTCAGGGTCTTCTTCAGAGGTTTTCTTGTCATGTCCTTCAGTGCTTCTTGGTGCAGCGCCACCATGGGCAAGAAGGGGGAACAGGTTTTTCAAATGGTTTGGATCGTTTCACAAAGTGGAGTGTGAAAGCGAACCGCAACAGCCGAGATGCAACAAATGTTGCAATTCTGGTCCCCAATCAAACTAAGTCTACTGGACTATCAGGTATGAAAGCACCCTTCACGTGGCTCCACTGGTTGGTCTGACAAGCTCAGTCCATTTACCACGAAGGAGCATAAAGCAAGCGTAGATGAGACCAAAAAGACCAGTGTCCTCATGAATCTACTGACACTCAGTTTCACAACATGTCAGTAAATACATTTTAAAAAGTCACTGCCAGCCTTAAGTTGTAAAGAGAATGCTAGCTTATTATAATCAAAATAAGGCATTAGACTCCAAAAGTTTATAAATGTCCAACTGAGCTGGATCAGGGTTTTCTGAGAAAAACAACGGTTCTAAAACAAGACTGGCGTTTCTCCCAGAGATCCAGGCTATAACGAGTACAGTGTTCAGCTTTAGTTTTAAACCATGGGAACAACAAAACTGAGCTCAGCTTCTGACCAATCAGCATGAAGAAAGAGTGCTTAAGAGCAATTAAGAGTTTGATAAACGTTGGAAAGGAGTGGAAATCTCAGCATACATACACAAGAAGATGGTTATTAGAGGTAAAGTAATAGTGTAATGATTTTTTAAAGAGGCAGCTCCTGTAATCACTGCTGTACTAAATGCCAACTGCTGGTCTCTTTTTACGAGGCCTGTTTTACGCTAAACTCTGAATGGAAAAGTATTTAGCTGGTGTGTGTGTTTAAGATGTTGTCGGGGGGTGATGGCGAAAGGCCAGTGAGTCGAAACGTTCT